GCTGATTCAATCTCATTGATTGTTATGGATCTGTTTAAGTTGTTCATACCTCTTCATTTGATTTTGGTAGACCATATGTGTCTAGGAAGCTATCTCTTTCTTCTAGATTTTCTAGACTAGCTTTTTAAGACTAGCTTTTTATTACAGAGGAGGGAAGGAAGAATTGGTTAAAAAAGAGAGTTTTGTAGATCTTAGAGGGAGAAGAGGGAACTAAGTGTGAAGAGGACTATGAAAGGTGTCTCTGCTGTCAGGACTTTCCATGCTGTGAGCAAACAGTGAAAAGGCAAGGACGCATGCCCACTGCACCACAGTTAAGAAAGTAGGGTCAGCATGTCTAGGAGGATTGGCAGGAAGTGGGCAAGAATCAACCCATGGAAAATTTGCTTGAAATGGCATCTCATTGCAACAGAGGACAAATATGTCTTTAAATCTAGGAGAAACTTGATTTTCTTGGTGCTATAAGATTGAAACAGATTTCAATCTGGAATGAGTTGGTAGGAGCTTAGGTGAGATGGAGAAGAACCTGAGCTAGGACAGTGGGGAAGGGAAGGATGTGTGAGCGCAGTAAGAAGTAGCCTGTAGGACACTGTGACTACTGGCTCAGTCCACAAGATGATCTGACGGGGTTATGACAATTCTTGGCCTTCTAGTTATAATGACTGATAATTAATGGCTCTAGTTAATCAAGACATAAGGCAGATGATCAGGTCTGTGAGCAATAAGAAAAACTCATTTCAGGAGGGAGGATTGTTGCTCTAAGGATGTGATTTAGGACCAATGAAGATGGAAGATTCAGTCCTTTAGGAGTTGTCCTGAGAAAACAACTTAAAAAAAGAAAGAAAATATTCCCCAAAGATCTTCAGTACTGTATTATCAGATTCTTAAGACTACTACTATTATGATACAGTTAATTCCACAATCTATCCTAAAAAAGTAAAAATGCAAACAAGAATTTATGGTTTTCATATCTCTTTAGAATGAGTTTAGTTGCATGGTGAAAATTCATTCTAATAAATAGAAAATAAATGGAAAGCCATATGTCAGGATTAACTTAATTCTAGATGATGGTGTCATAATGATTTATTTTACCTTTTTCTATATGTTTGTGATTTGCAAAGCTTCTTAAGGGAGCATGCATTACTTTCTGAGGAGGAAACAATGAGTTCTAAATTGTATATGAAAAGCTAGCATGGTGGCATATGCCTGTAATTCCGGCACTTAGGAGGCTGAGGCAGGAGACTGATGTAATTTTGAGGAAATCCTGGGCTACACAGGAACACCTTGCCTCAAAACAAAATGAAGGGTAGTATATTAAATGGAAATATTAAAAACAGGTAAGTACTAAGTTCTGTTAAATCCATAGAACAAGATGTGAAAGAGCCAGAATTTAGTTTATGAAAAGTTATTGAGGTAGATAAATGTTTATAAAACATTAACGATCAGCGTTCAGTTGACGATGATATGAACCTATCTATCTAAAAGAGGGCTAGCATAGAAGGCCAGGGTTCATGTATACACACTCACATGTGCACACATATGAACATCACACATGCAGTCAGGGTGATGGGATTGAGGATGGTGGTGTAGTAGTTACTTTCCTGTTGCTGACCCCAAAGCCACTTCTATTTTTACTTGCTATTATTTTTATTTTTTTGTTTTTGAGTGTATTGCCTGCATGTGTGTAACTGCACCCATGTTGTACAATGCCCACAGAGGTCAGAGGAGGGTGTTGGATTCCCTGGGACTGGAGTTAGGACGATTGTTAGCTGCCATGTGGGTGCTGGGAACTGAACCCGAGTCTTCTGCGAGAGCAACCAGTGCTCTTGATGGCTGAACCATCTCTCCAGGCCCCAGAGTCACTTATAGAAAGAAGAGTTTAAGCTTATGGTTCCAGAAGGGTTAGAGTCACAGTGGAGTAGTGCAGCAATGAGGCAGCTGGAACACACACATCTTCAAGCAGGCACAGGAAGCAGAGACACAAACTGGAAATGGACAAGGCTACCTACCCCAAGTGACATGCTTCCTCCAAAGCCTCTGCAAACAGCACCACCAACTGGGGACAAAGTGCTCAGCTACTTAGCGCCTCTGGAGGATCTTCCTTATTCAAACCACAAGTGTTTTCTGTGTATTCATATTTCTTTAACATTTTACAGGCTCTGGCGTAGGATCTACCTCAGACAAAGATGATAATTATTATCATTGTAAAACATAGAATAAACACCCGTATTACAGGAGCTACGATGACTTATTTGCCTTTCCTGGCTTTGATCTTCAGGTAGAACTCCAGCTCCTTACCCTCTAGTGTCCAACACTCAGAGCCCCAGGAGAAGATCCCCACATCCAATCTCAGGGAACGGTACTTATTGCCTCCTTGAACTCAGACTGTGTGCATGCAGTGGGGGCCAAGCCTAGTGTTGGCAGCTGGTCACCTGAGCTCATACTTCAGCCTCTTGTGGTAGGGCACCCAGTGAGCTTGTGCCAGTTGTCCAAGAGGTGCCCATCACTCAGTGCTGGCTGCAAAGAGCGGCGATGTATTTTTTTTTAAGTCAGAAAGGACATACACCCAACCACTTACAACTTGCATTTCTGTGTTTGACTTGTGCACAGGCAGAATTGTTAGTATCATTAAAGTGTTTAAAAAACTATTTTGACAGTAAATTCTGATATTTCTGCAGTGCATGTTTTTCTCATTTTCATGTGATTTCAATAAAAGTAGTAATCATTATCCAAACCTGGAGAACTCCTGCGCACATTCATTTATTGAGAAATGTAGCCATTTGAAGAAGCCATTAGCTATTTTCTTTCTGATCTTGAAAATGAATTAATTTTAGAAGTGAAATTCAAATGAATAGCCTCAATGTGACAGATGATTTTTTAAAACTAATTGCCTGTGATGTGTTTAGAAATCTATCTTTGAATGTTCTGTTTCACTTATGGACCAGACTCTTGATTTTGAACAGAATGGAACATCATTTCAG